GGTGGCCGGGAGCGGCCACTGCACTCCAGTCTGGGCGACAGAGTGAGACTCCAACTCAAAAAAAAAAAAAAATTTTTTTCAGATTTAAAAATACCCTAGAGAGCCGGGCTCCGTGGCTCAGCCTGTAATCCCAGTGCTTTGGGAGGCCGAGGTGAGTGGATTGCCTGAGCCCGCGGGTTCTAGACCCGCCTGGGCAACTTGGCGAGACCTAATCTCTACGATAAATCAAAAATTAGCTGGGAGTGGTAGCGTGCGTCTGTAGTTCCAGCTACTTGGAAGGCTGAGGCGGAAGGATCGCCGGAGCAAGTTGAGGCTGCAGTGGCTGGGAGCGGCCACTGCACTCCAGTCTGGGCAACAGAGTGAGACTCCAACTCAAAAAAAAAAAAACCCTAGAAATCATCAACTGTATCAAATGCACTCAAGAGAATTCTTGAGCTAAAACCTCAGAACAGTATTAAAATATCAGCATATGATTATGATCACCTAGGCTCACCCACCACCCCATCTCTAAGGGGGAAACCCAAAATAACAATTATTTTTTGAAGGGCAGATCCCTTGTAGTACAGACTTCCTCTGCTAGATACGTGTTTTAGGAACCCATTGGCATCAGCTAGTGTTGTTGTGAGAGGCTGTGTTCAGCGTCATTGAATTTTTTTTTTTTTTGAGATTGTTTGCTAATTTCATCATGGATAATTTGCATGAACAATCTGCCTACACCACACTGAGTATTCAGCAGATTTTGACCAAAAATGACATGACCCCTGTGCCCCATTCTCCCTAGTCACCTGATTTTGCCTCAGGTGACTTATTTTTCCCCCAATGAAAAAAGTCCTCAAAGGGAAGCATTTTGTCAATGTGGAAGAGGTCAAACAAACAAACAAACAAAAACGGCAGAAGCACTAAAAAGCATGAAAATATCAAAATCAATGTGCTCAAAAACTGTTTTGAGCAGTAGGTGTATTGCATCAAATGGAGAGTACTTTGAAGGTGACTGAATTTAAGCATGTAAGAATAAATACACAATGTTTTATAAATAAATTCCAGGTTTTGGGGTACCCCCTTGTATGTAGAATAGTTTACATTTTACACTAAATAAACTGATTTTTTTCATTCTTGAGCCAACTGTCAATTTTTATTTTTATTAATAAAGTAGGACTCTGTGTACATAGTACAAGTCCAAGGTGGACAGAAGAGCTTGGAAGGCTCAGCCATCCTTCAGGTTTATCCTAGCTCTTCTGGGTGCTATTTCTATAACTCAGTTCTGCGTTCAACCTGCTCTTTCTTGATTGATCAAGTTTAGACATTACTCTAGGTTATCTGGTTTTGCAAAAGAAGGACTTGTCTTTGTTTTTCCATTTTATATTTTCTCTTATCCCCCTCCCAATATCCAACAATGATATGATTTTAGTTCCTCTGATTTTCTTTTTAACTTTAAATACCCATATTTCATCCTTTTGTGTTCCATCAAACTTCAGCCTGTTTTTTAAAAAATTAACAAATAAAAGCTGTATATATTAATCACATACAACACAATGTTTTGGAATATGTATACATTGTGGAATGGCTCATGGAGCCAATTAACATAAGCATTACCTCACATACCTCATTATCTCTTTTTTTTTTTTTTGAGATGTTAACACTTAAAATTTACTTAGAGATTTTCAAAATACAGTGCATTGTTATTCATGATAGTCGCCATGTGGTAAAGTAGATCCTTTGAACTTGTTCCTCCTGTCTAACTGAAATTTTGTATCCTTTGACAGTCTCCCCAACTCCAACTGTCTCTTAATTTCCTAATTCATAAATAAGAATATTAGCACTGTGCTTTCATTTTCACAAGTTGTAACTTTACAAACAAGAAATACAATTTTTTGACTTATGTTTACAAATGTCTTATCATAAAAAAATACATATAAAAGAATATATGTACGTGAGTGCCCCATCCAGCCTAGGAAAGATTTTTAATAGTTTTTAATGCCTGTCTCAATTTTATCCCTCCCCTTCCTTCTATAAATTTACCACAAAACCTCAATTTTTATTTAATAATCTCGTGCTTTTAATATTTTCACTCTACATGTATATAATGCTAAAATGTTAAAATGTATGTTTTTGAAATGAATATAGTTGTATACTAATTTATATTATACATTTCAATATTTTTGAGGTACACCTACAAAGTCATAAAGACATATGTGAAGTTCATTCATTTCCACTATTCTTTCAGTTTCTGCTACATTATATGAACATACAGTTGACTCTTGAACAACGTGGGTGTGAACTGCGCAGGTCCACTTATACACTGAAGTTTTAAAAACAGAAGTTACACCGAGTGTGCTTAAATCTCCTGTCCCCTTCGCCACTTCCTCTACCCCAGAAACAGCAAGACCAACTCCTCCTCTTCCTCTTCAGCCTGCCCAACAAGAAGACAACTGAGGATCAAGACACTGAAGATGATCCACATCCATGTAATGAGTGGTAAATATCTTTCTGCTTTCTTATGATTTTCCTAATAACATTTTCTTTCCCCAATTTAATCATAAGAATACAGTATATGGTGACATAACATACAAAATATGTGTTAATCAACTGTTTACGGGTATGTTATCGGTAAGGCTTTCAGTCAACAATAGGCTGTTAGTAGTTAAGTTCTGGGGGAGTTAAAGTAATACACAAATTTTTTTACGGCACAGGGGTTGGGGTTCAGGCCCCAGCCCCCACATGTTGTTTTCAAGCATCAATTTGACTACAGTTTTAAAATGCTGCATCCATTTTGGATTTTCCTGTACTTCACTGTCAGCACTAATACTACTAGGAATTTCCATATATAGAATATTTTACATAAAGCTTTGATATCTTTTAAAGTGGAGGTGTCCAACTTTTTGGCCTCCCTGGTTTGCACTGAGGAATTGTCTTGGGTTGCACATAAATGATATAATATTGTTAATGTATACACATAATAAGACTTTTTATGTTTTTAATAAAGTTTTGAAAAATGAGAACAAATATAATTAGTGGAAATTTTTACCTTGTTTTTGTAAAACTAATCTATCATTGTCTAATTTGATGGACGTGGTCACAATTCTTAATGAGTTCTCGAGGTACTCATCAGAAATGTTTGTTGCACTTGTGTTCTTTATCATTGAAAACAGCTGCTCACTAATGTATGTGCTGCCAAAAAGCAATATCATGAATAAGGTATGATTATGAAGCAAAGGATATTTTTCTCTAGGAAGATAGTATAAAAGTCCGGTAGAAAGACATGGTCAAATTTTTTTTCAGTTGAATGTCTGATTGCAACTCTGAGCATTCCGTTTGAAAATTTTCAGGTAAAATATTAATTTCAACTGAAAATGGTATAGCAAATATAGCAAAATAATGATTATTTTGCCGGAAGTCTTGAAATCTGTTTTCAAATTCTTGTACTAAGACAGAAAGCAAAGCTGCATATTTTTGGCAGATCACAGGACTGCGTTTAGCCAATGTAAAAAAATGTGTTAAATTATTTTCCATAATTTTTGCTTGACATAATTTAAGTTTCATTTCAAGCACAGTATCGCTTTGGAACTTCAAAAATGGAACTACACATGGGGTCACAAAGAAAATGAATGCTTAAAATACACATAATGTTATAAGAATTTTTGAGGCTGCATTACTAGTTGTCCTGGGTCACATGAGGCCCACAGGCATGGTTGGACATGCCTGCTTTAATGGATTAAAAATATCTTCCAAGAGTTTCTATCATGAATGACTGTCAAATAAAATCTAAAGATTTGTTGGCATTTCTAGAGATGATCATATATGATTTTCTCTTCTTAATATGTTAATGTGATGAATCATAATAATTGATTTTCTAATGTTAAGTCAAACTTGTTTTCCTGGAATGAACTCAATTTGTTTACAAATTGGCATAATTTGATTATGTTTAATTTAGAATGTGGCATCTATTTGTACATAAGAAAGACTGATTTATAATTTTTTCCTTTTTCATATTATACTTTCATGAAAGTTAGACATGCTCTACAGAATAATTTTTGGGTATTCATTCTTCTTCTGGTTCCTGGAATCATGAGATCTGTTTCTTGAAAGTTTCTTGGAATTCAGTAGTAAAAGTCATCAGGGTCCATTAGTTTCTCTGTTGGAAGATTTTTTTTTAAACTACTGATTCATTTTTGTCTTTCTATCTTTGTAGTAGTTAATTTTTAATAGTTATATGACTATTTCTTGATACAGTTTTGATAAATTACATTTTTCTAAAAACATGTCCATTTTGTTTAAATTTTTGAGTTTCTTTTTAATTGTGTTCTATGTTCCTTTAAATTTCTGCTTTTCTGTATGATCATTCCCTATTTTATTCCTAAAGCTGTTAATTTTTTTCCCCCTTGGCCACTCTACCAGAGTTTTGTCAATA